GGTAGTACGATGCAGATCAAATTTGTAAATGTCACACAATTTTACTTATATGAAATGAGAATAATTAGCCCATATGATTTTCATGTTACACTTGATCCTGCATCCTGATTGGTCAACCAGGTTTCGGAGTTTCGGATTATAATTTCGGGAGTATTTACGGTAACTACGTTAATGCAGGCCAGATATTATATTAATGCCGGCCAGATAATTTTATTTGGGATCATATTAAAAACCCCGCGCGTGCCCATCTCTAGCTACTAGTACTTATTACTAGTCGTTTGTTTTAAATAAGTTATGTTAGGTTTTATTATTTTTCTTTGGTTAATTAATAATGTATATGGACCGATATAGTGTTCCAATTCGGATTAAACCCGAAACCGACTGAATCCGAAATTTCGGGTTGAATCCTGAGCCAATCCGAAGTATTTAATGACTTGAAATTTATATATTAGTGCAATGTGAAAGAAAAAACTAAGACCCAAATTTCAAAATTAGGTTTATTTCGGGTAATCCAAAACTTTTGGCCCAAACCGATTTTACGATTCGGATTAGATGATAATCCGAATCCGTCGGATCTGGATTATTCGGAACACGGCCAATCACGATAGAAGATTTTCAGAAAAATTCGCTTAAAAACTACTATAAAGTGAATTTTCACAAAAAACGGCTTTTTTAACTTATATTGAACCATTAAAATATTAAAAATTACGATTTCTACATATTTTATTATAAGCCAGAAGTGAGTTAAAAATGCTGTTTCTTGAAAATTTCTTTCGAATTTATCTGCAACCCATCTAAAAATGGCCAATTCACCAACTCAATACACCTGAATATTTTAACAAATAATATTAGTACTTACTCTGTAGCTTAGCGTTAGGGCAGTGACAAATATTACGTAATAGTCTCTGATAGGGATGTTAAACGGTCCACGGTAATGATGGGTGACGCAACCACGTGATGCTAATTGTCACATGTTTTACTTATAAAAAATCATGATTTTTATAAGTAATAGCATGTGACAATTAGCATCACGTGGTTGCGTCACACCGGACTTTTTAGGGACTAGTAGGGACTAGTTCTGATATGAATAGAGTGTCATTTTTAACTCATTAAATAAATTTTGTAAAATGTGAATCAATAACAATACACCCTGGGAAATCAATGACAGATACTCTAATTGGTGAATTAGGTTAAAATTAGTTAATTGGTAAAGTTTGTAATAAAAGTGTTATAAAATATATACAGTATTAAACCGCGTAGGACTACTATAGGACTTGTTTTTAACAAGGGGTGAACTAGTTTTCAGCCAATCCTGGACCGTACTTTTTATGAGATGGACCGTGACCGGACCGGGCCAGACGCACTACTTAATATCCCTATAAAAAATTAATCAAATTTTTTTTACATGGAGGAGGTAGAAAAATATTACGTAATATTTGTCACCATTCCTAGTACGTACGTACGTATAGCGTTTTATTTATTTTTATTGGTCTTTTATCGTATAGGCACTAAAGCTCTTTTGGCGCCATGATTTACGTTAAACCAGTACTGTAATGTATATAAATAGGGGATAATAACATATGGTATTATCTTTAAGATTTCTATGACAATACTGGTTTAACGTAAATTATGGACGCCGTCTTTATTGATTGTGACAAGTGTTTCATTTGCTGCTTTTAAGAGCAAAATTTTGTGATCCAGAAAATCAAATCCGTCTGCGTGTAAAATAATTATCGTTCTTTAATAAAATTCTGTATTTGTATAAATCATTATCTGCACGCAAAATTACTTCTATTTCCATATATAGAAATTTTTATTATTGAAACTACCATATTTGTTTGTTATGTAAATATGCACGCAATAAAGAATAAACAACTTTAAACTAACAAAGACCAGGAGTACCGAAAGTTATTACGATTTTAATTATTAAGTAATTGCCTTTTTAAAACTTTTTAAGTTCATATCATTATTTTTAGATAGCTACGTACGACTAATTTGTGTTTGAAACATGATTATTCTTTTGATGTTAAGAGTTGATTGGGTTGGTTACACGGAAATATGTAAAATTTTTTTTTTATTCAACACGACGTTAGCGCCTGAAATTCAAATTTTAAATTAGTTGTGGGTCCGCAACTAAAAAAATTACTTGCGGATTATAAAATGTTTAGTCAAATTAATAATAATTTCATATGCAAATCTGTATATGCACTTCAGATTGTAGTTTCTGAAACTTAATTTTTGTAGTCTGCAGATTCTGCAACTTAATTTCAGACACTAATCTAAAGTGTGAGCTCATGAAGTGTGTAAAATTGTATGAAGCATTATATTGAAATTGGTTTATTTGGCCTTTTGATGATTGACAATCTTGTCTTTTGAATAAATAATACGGATCAAAATTTTAATTTTATTTCAGATATTTGTTGACCAAAATTTTTTATAAAATAAAGATGAATTATGATGAAAGATTTGAAGGCAGCGTAATATTTACTGAATAATGTTAATATGCCAAGATAAAGTTCTATGTATGCTCTCAATTTACAGTATCAAGTATGTTTTTTTTTTTAAAAAAAAAAAAAAAAATTAATGCTAAACTAGATTACAAATCGTCGAATATAAAATGATGTTATTTATCTTCATATGCTTTTAATGAATTAAAAAATTTGAAACAAACAATTGTGTATTAATATAGTCACAAAATTTAAGTAGCAAGAAGTTCATGAAATGATTCAGTCATTTTTTCTTCCATAATATAGTTTTTATATTTTCTATAAATTAAAACTCCAACAATCGTAAAAATAATGAGTAAGCCAATTACTATGCAAACTATTCCAACAACAGAAATGCGTAGATTTGAAGGCATATTCGTTTTTTCATTGCTTTGATCTTGATTAGAAGTCGCATTGGTTATATTATTTGAAGTCCTACTCGTATTTGTTACCCACTCGTAGTTTAGAGTATCAAAGATATAAATTTGATTGTTAAATTGAGCTGGCTGAACTCTTTCTTTAAATGTAATCCTACCTTTAAGTAAGAAGATTTTAGTTTTTTTGAAATCTTTAAAAATGATAAAATTGATAAAAATATATTTACCAAATGCAATAATCATAAAATTATCAAATAATGTCGCAGAATGGTATCCAAGTGATGGTGGCGCATTATCTGATGAAACATTTAAAATGGTCCATTTCATTGGATAAGTATTTGTATTTAGCATTGCAAGGTCAGGATGTGTTTGAATAGAACCAGCTGACGATTGCCCTCCAAAAATAATTATAGTTTCGTTTTGAGCTAACAATAAAATTCATAAAAAAATTAATAAATTTAATATTTGATCAATACAACATACAATAAATACATACTTAAAACTGCCGAGTGTCCATAACGATTGGAAATATTGTCACCAGTTGCTGACTTTTTTTTTTTTTAAAAAAAAAAACAAAGCATTAAAATAAAATATAATTTGCATCATTTTTATTTAACCACTACTACGTACCATACTATACCAAATAAGGGATTTTGTATTAAATAATTGAATCTGAATTATTTATATTCAAGTTAATTTAAATAATATATATATATGTATATAATAATAAAATTAATTTATCAAACCTCGTTAATATTGGCAAGAGAACCAGGGGGAGTGTAAACAGTTTTACCGCCAATATATATAATTTCACCAGTTTTAATCAACGTAGCAGTATAACCCTCCATCGGTGGTGTATTTTGAATTGGTAAGGTTGACCAAGTCATTGTAATAGTGTCAAGAACGTTCATATCACCAAAAATAATTCCATCAAAACTTAAATGATCTGTCAAGTTCAAACCACCATATAAAAAAATTCTTTTAGAGTCGTCAATAACTGCCTGCAATGATTGACGACCTAAAAAACTACTATTCATTCCTGTAATATTTGGTGTTGTCCAATTAGAGTTATCCAAATTCAAAGTAAATACAGGTGGAGGTGAAGATAAAAGTACTTCTGTCACTGGATAACGCATTTCTCCACCAATTAAAAATATTGATGAAGAACTAATGCATGCAGTACTTAATTCTATTGTCACTGGAATTTCTGTTAAACCTTTATTCCATGGAGGTGAACTAGCATTAAATGGATTTGATAAATCGAGATATAATACCTCGTTCAAATCTGAGGTATTTTGAGTGTCGAAATTACCACCAAAGATGTACCACCTAAATTTATCATCATCAAGAACACTAGTTTGTAAATATCTTTGTTGAGGTATAAATTTGCCAGAAACAAGAATGGTGGAGATGATGTTTAAAGTATAAATGATTAATGAATGAATTAGCATGATGGACAATACCTAATATTTAAAGCTTATACGGCACGAACATATTTTTTGCTACTTATATAGAGAAAATAATAAAGAAAAAATTTTCTTTGTATGTACATACGTTCATACATATTTTATTACTAAAAATTTTTTTATGCATTGTGCTTATCCGGAATTTCTATTTATCGAATTTTGATATTCAATTTTTATGCATGTAAGTTCACATGTTTTGGATAATTTAAATACAAAATTTCAGGCACAGGCAATCAGTTGGCATGCAGATCATAAACGTCAGTACAGTATTAAGCACAGGGATGGTGGTCATTTGATCAAAATTTTAATGACCTCAGTCATTAAATAATGACCTGTCATTTGGGTCATTTTATTGGTTTGGTAACTAAAAAAGGTATTGGGTTTCTAGCCAATAATCGTAGCTCTATACACAGTATAAGTTAAGGTTTTACTAAACTAGTCGTTATTACAGTATGCCCAGAATAACAAATTGCATATACTCTAAAGTTTGATGTAACTCTTTATTCACTTCTGTATTTCACATTTAAATAAAAAAAGTTTTAATCTTCCATAAATGCGAAAATGAATTAATAAAAAGTTATTCAAATTACATAAAACTTTCGGAGTATATGCAATTTGTTATTTTGAAACTTTATTTAAGGCGTAAATATTGACTAGCTTAATAAAGTTTGACTTTTAAAAGAGTAACAATTATTAATTATGGTTTCTCATATAAAAATTTGCATTTATCCTGTAACCAATTTTATTGATTAAAGTGTTATAACACCAATTAATGTATGTTAAATGATATTCTCAGTCATTTAGACATTCGAAATGACCAATGGCTAGTCATTTGTCATTTGAGTTATCAGGTCATTTTAAGTCACTTACCATCCCTGATTAAGATGGTCGAACTTTGCGCACCTTTCAGTGCTTAAAAATTGACCAATAAAATCAAATTATGTAAATACCTGCCGGCAGGGCATCCACTTATTTGCGCGGGTAATCAAACCTCTAAAAAGGAAATGGCCAATCAGAGAACACAAATTTCGGATATTCCGCGAAAGAAGAAAAAAGAAAGAAAGCGAAAATACTCAAAAACTAATGTTTAAATCGACATTTGTGGACTAATAAAAATAACGGTAATGAAATTTTACATACAAGAAACTCCAACCTATCGCTAAAGCTCACAACCCTAACGTCCTAATCCTAAACTTCTATTTTTACGCACTTAGTTTATTTACAAATTTCGATTTCCTTTTTTGGTTTGTGTTACCCGCGCAAATAAGTAATTCTCCGGCAGGTTGTCAATGGAGCTCCCAATGGATACTAGTTTTTTGCTCTCCATTCACATACTCGTTTAACTCCATTGGCTCCTGCCTGCCGGATACGTAATCCCATTTGTTTCTTAAATATGCTTTTTTTTTTTGTTGATTTCTTTAAATGTAAACTTAAAAGAGATTAAATGATAACTAGCCATATAACGTTAGAGTTGTGCCTCGCGCGTAGTGTTCTAAGCCAATTAAGTTAGCTGCTTAAATAGCCACTTAGCCGCTTAGCTAGCTGATAATTTAATTAGCCGGCTAATAACGGCTAATGATATTAATTACAAAAATTAAAGCTGTATAACTATGCAGTAGTGTAAAAAAAAAAAAAAAAAAAAAAAAAAAATCTATATTACCAAACTTAAATCTCTATTATATGTTGAATTGAAATTTTTGCATTAGATCAAAATAATTATAATGCCACTAATAACTACCCTTATCTTAATATAGGGTTTTACCCTAACCATAACTAAACTTAATCGAAAATTTGATCTGATACAAATTTTAACTTGACGTATAACATATATGAGCTTTGGTAACACGTCTCTATTTAATTGAATACTTATTTGTTTCCAAGAATTTAATTTGTAATTTAAAATTCTATACTATAAAAACAGTTAGAATATTAAATGAAGTTATTTAATATACATCATATTATATTTACTAGATATAGACATCCTATGATTTAGTATAACAAAATTATTAACAATGGCTTAACCTAGTCGTAAAAATTTAATCGGCTTGGATCACTACTCGCGTGAGGTGGCGTCATCCAAGAAAATTCTGAATTCAGCAGATTCATATGTTTTTAATATAAATTATCACAAATCACTGATTGCTGAGTTTATTTTTTGATTAAAGATTTACCTCGCGCGAGGTATGATGCCCTATAAGAAAAGTGGTTTGGAGTATGGTACGGGAAAACAATGTAAATGCACGGATGCTACGGATCGTGTGGCACGTATAGGCACGTTTTACTGAATGGCACGGTTAAAAATGACACGGACATTCTGCAGTTATATCACGTCACGCGGAATGACACGCATATGCTCGTTGTACGTACGTACGTCTTCATTTCATTTCACGGAATGGCTCGTTTTGGCTCGTTTCACGGAGTACAATAAGAGCGAAGGATCACAAACGATTTTTTTTTAAAAAAAATTGCAATACTGTATCTCAAAAACTCGCAAGTAAACTTGCTCTGGATAACTTAAGGAAAAGGATTCCATGTACATTTGCAGCTACTTTAGTTTCCAGATATATACATACTCTAACTATTACCAGTCCTCTTCTAATAAAATGTTTATTGGAAAGTGGACCGTGAGTTTATGTTTACTGTACTTACCCGATCCATTCATGTGTCATCAGCTCCATGTCAATTTTGCAATTGGCTTAGTAAAAGGCACGTATGTTTCACGTTAAATTGGCACAGTATACGGTAGGGTGTCCAGGATTATGCGATGCGATGCGATCGAGGTCAATTTTGAGTTCATTGATTTTCTACGTCATTAGCTGGGCGACTTTCGGCACACTTACCTACCAATCACATGATCATTATGCCTTTTTGTTCAATTATGCGAAGCGAAAAAATGGTTAATTATTCGCATTATTTCGCATCGCATAATCCTGGACACCCTAGTATACGGGTCAACACGGTCCGCCAACTCGAACCATGCACGTGCAAACCCGGCACGTGCCACCAGACCATGTGCCTATACACTGTTTTTCCATGCGACCCCGGGCCACTTTTCTTATAGGGATGAATAATTTGCACGAGGATGATGTCATTATATTTTGCAAGGCACATCACTAATGGATGCCCTAATTTCTCCCCAGTTGTGATTGGACGTATGAAACCCTGTCTTTTAATTGGATAAACCAGATCACGTCATCTTGGCACAGCCTAGTACCCTAGCCATGGCGAAAAAAATTCTCAGATCACGTGCCGTAGATCAATTTTTATGGATTTCTATTGGACGC